AATAAATTAAGAATAGCGTTTTGTTATGAAAAGGCTTACATCAATTAAACCACCATAACGTATTATTGTCAATAACGCATGAACATGACTTTCACTTGTAAAATATAATCGAGTTCTAACATGACGACCAGGTGTTTGGATTCCTTTTGAAGGGCTATAAAGAAAATGAGAATAGATAATAGATAAAGCACAGTCAACCCCAACCATGTATATCTATCTCATCGAGATAAAAAGTGACGCTCGTTCGTTGAATTGCGACCTTAAATCTCAGAAGAAAAAAACTTATTCTTTACAATTAAACGTATTCGACCAAGAAATTAAGTCACAAATAGCATATTCTAAAATAAGTTCATTTACAAAATACCAGCTCTTCAGCAATAACATACACATATGGATGTTTTGGTGTGTATACACACCGAAATGTAATAGATATTTTCTGTATACCTGTTTTGTGCGTTTTCACTATTATCTTGATTATTCAAATATCTAAAAAATGATGACAGATATAATGGGTGTTTTTAGTTAAGTAGAAAAGTCAAAAGCTAGCAGCAACAGATAATAGATTCACTAGGGAACCCCTCGAACTGATTAAACGCTTTTTGCTCGGAATCTAGTGGGTTATAGGTTATTGACTATGCTGATTATGAATACATGGGGCTTCCCCATAGTCCTTCGAAGACCTGGTTTTCTAGAAAACTAGTTTTTCAAAAACTCTAAAATATAACCTGAACCTTTCTTAATGAGGCATGATTGTAGCCCGCACATTTCTCATTAAGGTGAGACATCTCCTAGCTTTGTACGATCTTTCTTTGCACAGTTATAGAATTTACAAGAAAAGCCCTAAATTAATTTCTTCTTATTTCTGTAGCTTTCAGCTGACAATGAACATTTCTCGTCAGTGTCATACTTAAAGCTTTCTACTTTTCTTTAATGTTCTGACCTGCTATCTAGTTTAAATATGTGCTCTTCATTTTCCCAATAACCAGTTAAATTTCCTTGTAAATCAGTACCAATCTGTCGTAATAACGGTGTAATAATACCACGTGCAATATTTAATTTTTCTTCAATTGTTATACCATATTCTTGTGGTACGACAATA